GGCCGGGAGGCAGCCAGGCCCGGCTGGGCCCCGGACCCTCAGCGCCGCAGTGGAGAGGCACGACGGGCAGCCGGGCTTCTCCCCGGAGCCTTCCTGCAGCGCGTCTTCTGCCAGCATCCTCTTTCCCCTGGAAGCGCAGGCCGCGGTGTAAGCTGCTCGGGTGCCCATGGACGGCTGCGGCCAGACGGGCGTTCTTGGCCCGGGGCTGCACGTGGAGGGCAGCTCTCGACGGGGACGTGAGCATTTGACATGGAGGGACCGGGCTCCCACACCTGGAGCTGCCCCAGGATGGGGGGCACGGTGTCTCCTCCTGCAGCACTCTCGGGTGCTACCGCTCCGTGGTGCATTGCCCTTCTCCGTGCACCAGGCTAAGATCCTGCCACCGCCTCCTCCCTCCTGGGGCCGTGAGCGCTGGAGGAGCCAGGCCCACTCTGGGCCTTTGAGAGAGCTCTGCCGCCCTGCAGCATCCTGCTGTCCCCCTCCCCACTGTTTTGCCTGCCGGTCCCTGCGGTCTTTTAGAGGCACTTTTAGTTCAGCGGGAATCACGCCGGCTGCATCTGAGCAGCCTGGGAGGGATGGAGCAGCGTCCTTGGAGCCTGCACCCCGGACCGGTGCCCACCTGGCTGCCCGCGGCCCCCTCTGAGGTCTGCCTGGGGGTCCCTGCTGGGAGGAATGACCCCTGCTGCAGGCGCTGCCTTCCCGCGCTTCACTGGCTGCTCCCCAGTTGCTCGTCTAGAAGTGAATGGGGCTGTTTAACAGCAGGAGCTCCGGAGACGCCTTCGCCCCACGTCTGAGAGAGAAACCCGGGACTAGACCCACAGGACTATGGGATGGCAGCAATGCCGGCCGCAGCTTGTCCGCTCTGTTGCAAGGTGACTTCCCCTAGCCTCATCCAGAGAGGCGACAGGGGCTGCGACTCTTCACCCTGCTGCGACCTCTCAGGGACGCCCGGAGGCTGCATTAATCGGCTCTAGGCAGTGACTGCAGCCAGGGGACAATGAGCGCAGAGCCGGCCGAGCAGGCAATGACCTCAGCCTGCTTTGCAGGCACCTGCTTTTATTGCCTTACCTCTTATCTGGGGCTGGCTGGAGCTCAGGGCTCCCCATCCTCTCCCTTCCCCCTTGCACACAGCCGGGGGGGGCAGATGATTTAATGGTGACTCAGTGTAAATAAAGATGTAATTGCTTTCAGTTGGCTGGAACTGGTTTCTAAGTGGCGCCTGTGTCCCTCCCAGGGCTCTGGAAACAGGGCCCTGGGGCCTCTGGCCCAGACCTTGCGGGTTGGAGGAAGAGGAAAGAAGTACAGATGTCGAGAGGGGGGGCTGGAGCTTCATGGGGGAGCAAGGCCAGGGCCCTTATTTCTTGAGCTTGCACAAGCTTGTTTACTGCCGCGGCGCGGGGATGGGCCGAGGGGAGGGTCTGGCCGCGGTCCCGGCCTCCCTGGTGGCCACAGGCCCTGGACGAGGGGAGGGGGCGCACGCTCCAACATGTGCACAGTACCAGTGCTGGGGGGCCTGTTCCCCGTGTGCTGGGCCAGGGAGCTGGGGCCGGGTACTCGAATTAAGGAGCCGGCTGCAGTGTCCGATCCATTGCGCTTTATTGTCTGCAGCCCATTCACAAGCAGCTTCCCCCACCCCCAAGCTGGCAATAATTCCCCCCACCCCTTGCATACCAACCAGACAAAGCCAAATAAATTAGATGAGGGAGGTGGCAGCAGCCAGGATCCCCCAACCCCGCAAGGGGCAAGGGGAGGCACCCCAGGCTCTGCTGCCCTGATCCCTCCAGCTTATACATCGATGCTCCAGGAGGGCTGCCAGGGCGGGCGCCTGCTCCGGCTGCTCTGCTCGGACGCAGGCGGCTGCTCTTGGATGACAAGCCTGCTCCCCCCCAGGTTTTTCCTTCCCCTTTCAGTCAGTTCCTTCCATGGTAGGGCTTTGAGTAATGGCAGGTTGCAAAAGCTGGGCAGGAAGAGAGCAACACCTGCATCCGGCCACCCCAGCCTGGGCAGAAGGGGATGCCCAGCTGGCATGCTCTTTGGCAGAGAGGAGGAGATGGGGTCTTGGCTTCCAGCACTGGGACCCAAGCGCTTCATCCACTCTCCATCCCTCTGCCAGAGCGCTCACGTGCCCAGGGCTGAGCTTGACACAGCCCAGGGTGTTGCCTGTGGCTGGCAGGGACCAGCCAAGCATGGGGCAGCGCCCTGAGAGATGCCAAGTGTCATTCCTGGAGTCCCAGCGTGGGCAGGGCCCCTGGCCAGCTCCCCCTTGCCCCCCAGCCCTGCTCAGACCAGCGGCCAGTGGAGGCGCAGGCTGGAGTGCCGCATCTTCTCCTGGTAGACCCTGTTGAAGAGGGCGTCCTGCAGGGGTGTGAAGTGGTTCCGCCAGTCGCCCACGATCCCTGTGAGGGAGGGGAGAGGCGGAGGTGAGGGTGGCCGGCCACATGGGATGGGGGAAGCCCGGCTTGCTTCCTGGGCGCACGCGGCCTGCCCGGAGGGAACGGGGGCCGAAGACAGGCTGTCCTGCCCACAAGACCCCCAAGACGGCCCCGGGGTGGCATAGCGGGGCACAGCGAGCAGAGCTGGCGAGGCCGGGGGGGGTGATCTGGGATGAAGGGAGCCCCCCGCCCCTGCTGCCATCGGTCCTACCTTTGCGCATGAACTGCCCCTTGCTGTGGTCCAGGATGTCGCAGGACACGAGCGTGTAGTTCACCATGGCGTTCTCCTGCATGGCCGGGAAGCTGCTGTGCTGCTGGATGGCGCTGACCTCCTCCGGCCGCAGGGCGCAGCCCAGGAAGGCTGCCAGCTCCTCGATGGCGTGCCCCAGGTCCTGGGGGAGCAGGGACCGTCAGGGAAGCCCCTCTGCTGCCCCGACTGCAGCTGCCTCCAGCCACGGTGCCCAGGCCGGGGCTCCTCCACCGATGCCCTCCGGCAGGAGGCCGCACCGGGCAGGGGGGGTCCCTTCCAAGGTCAAGAGGAGAACTCACCCGGTGCAGGTCCTCGTAGGTGATGTAGAAGAGGTCCAGCTCCCTGCGCTGGCTGAGCCAGCTCTCCACGTGGTCGAACCAGGAGCCATATTGCACTGTGGGGAGGTGGGGGTCAGACTTGCCAGCCCCCCACATGCCCAAGAGCGGGGGATAGCACCCCTGTGCCCCCTGCCAGCCTGGGGGTGCCTGGAGCTCCCCAGCTCTCAGTGTCACCGCTGCCCCCGAGCCCCGTGCGTGGTGTGGGCAGAGCCGGGCTGCTAGAGCCAGGAGCCCGGGCTGTGATGCCTGCCGGCGGGGGTCTGTGCAGGACCGGGAAGGTGCCCGCTCACCTGTGCCATCCAGGAACTGCATGAGAAAGTCCTCGAAGGAGCTGGGCTTGGGCAGGAACTTGGCCATCTTGTGGAAGTGGTAGAAGGAGACCACGATGTCCTTGGGGTTCCTGGCCACGTAGATCACCTGTGGCAGGGCGGACGTGGCGTCACGCGGACTGGCACAGCGAAGCCAACCTGCCCCCTCCCAGCCCCGGCCCTCCAGGAGCATGGGTGACACCCCCCCTCCCCACCAGGCCCTTGGGACACCCATGCGGCATCCGCTCCCTGTTGCAAGGAAGCGCAAGGAAAACCCCGTGGTGCTGGTGCTGGGGGCAGGAAAGCCCCTGCTCAGTGGAGCAGCCCGGTCCCTTGGGGCTGCTGGAGGACACGTAGCCTGGGTGCGGGCATGGCTAGGGCTGGGGATGTGGATGGGGCTGATGCCACTTTTGGGGGTCAGGAAGGGATTTTTCCCCCTTGGCCACACTGGTCCAGACCACGGCCTCTGCCAGGCACCTCCGCAACGTGCATTAACAGCTGCGGCAGGGTCGGGTGCGATGCCTCGTGCAGTCTCAGGGCTGACGGCTGTTTTACCAGGAGTTCAGATGCTGGCCTGGTTTGCGCAGGGCTGCGTCCTTCTCCGGCAGGGGCTGGACGGAGCTGCCCGCCAGCCCCGCTGCTCCAGGATGCTACGCCATGGTGGCACCGGGGGCCTGGAGGCATCCGCACCCACGGAGCAGGCACCAGCCCCGCGCAGGACGTGGGGTCCGGCACTCACCTTGGCCTTGGCTTTCTTGAGGGCAGGGGCCAGGACGTGGCAGGGGAGGTGGGTGGTGAGGAGCCGGGGCTCCCTGTCTGCCTGCAGCATGTCCTTGAAGTAGACGTGCTCCAGCCAGGGCGCCCGGGCCCAGTTGGGGACGGTCTTGGCCAGGTGGCCATCCCCCTTGCTGTACATCAGCGTCAGGATCTCCTGCATCCACGTGGTGCCTGTGGGGCAGGGGGAGCGGGTCCGTCAGCCCCCACCCTTATCGGCCTCCCTGCAGGGCTGGGGGGAGCGCGGAGGGCAGCGATAGAGGAGCCGAGGAAGGCTGGGGGGGGCAAGGGCCAGGCTGGGCTGGTGCAGCCGCCCAGGGAGGAGCTGGCTGGCTGGGCTCCCGGCGGGCAGGCAGGACAGCTCGAGCCCAGCCGCGG